AAACTCGGATCCTACAACTGTCTCCCCTGTTTCTGCACCTCAAGGCTATTCTAGGCATTCTACTGCCTCCAATCCCTCTTTTCACAGAAAGAAAAAGGTCATCCGGAACAGAATCCCAATTTACTCCTCCTATGAGGACTCCTCTGACATGGAGGGATTCATCATCAGCAAGTCCAACCAAGCCACCTCTAAGAGACAGGAGACCCCCCTGACTCAACTCGAGCGTGAAATGCATGTACAATCTCTCTCCTCTGTCCAAGAACATCACCCTTTGCCTAAGGGAAGAGGCTTAGAGCTGCCTAATTCTGCTGGACAAGAGAATCAGATTCCTTTCAACGAGTTTGTGGCTGCACCAGAGGACTTTGGTGGACAAATGCGGGAAGGAATGAACAAGCTCATAATGATCAATGACAATGTTAAATCAGGCTTCAAACACATGTCTGATACTTTGTCAAATGTTCTTCACGATTTCATGGCCTCATCAAATATCAAGATTGATGTTGTCTCCAATGACATGGACACTATCAAGACTGTTCTTACTTCCATGAATCAGACCCTGAAATCCCAGCATACCACCCTTACAACTCTTTCCCAGGTAGTTGCATCCCTGCAAAATTCTGATGCTGTGATTCAAGAAAGACTACAAGACATCAGTACTCTCTGCAAAGCACATTCTGATCAAGGAAAGCTACTCCTGGCTGCAAACAAAGAAAGATATCAGAAGATGGTCCTGCTCAAAGCAAGCAACAATGATATCCTATCTGCTATTCATAGACAGCAAGGGTTAATAGAAGGCCTCACTTCTGTTACACAAACACTGACAGAAACCCTAGATCAAATTGCTTCCACCCAAGCTTCAGAATTCCAGAAACTCTCCCTAATGATTGGTGATCTAGATGATGCCAAAAAGGGGGAAGAAGATCCTCAACAGTCCAAGCCTAGGACCACAAGAGCTTCTACAAGAGCTTCATCATCTGTTGAACTAGCCGTTGATCCCACCCCATATTTTGAAGCTGCCTTCCAAAAGAAAAGGCTAGCTGGTATCCCTAGACCTCCGTCTCCACAGAAGAAAGGCACTAAGAAGAAGAAAGCACTGAGCTTTAAAGAATGGAGACTGGGAGGATCTCAGGTAATGACCAAAGCTCAATTTGAGGAAATGAAACAGAAGATGACTTCTACACAACAACAAAATCTCTATTTGGACAATGATGGTCATGTAAAGGTCAGACATGGTGGATCTCTGGAAGAGGCAGAATATTGGTACCATAACAGCATCCTTCCAGGAAAGGACATTCATGAAGGTGTCCTTAGCTACCTGGACTGCAAGCTCTCACCCGTCTGGGCTTCTTACCAAAGATCTGGAAATCTCACTGAGATCAGAGAAGAGGTGAATGCAGAGCTGAAAAGACTACAAGGATTGGATGAACAAGCAAGAGCTGAAGCTGCAAGGGCCATTATGTAATCAAATACCCCTGTAAACTATCCTCAAATAAAAGAACATCTCTGCCTCTCACTTTGTAAGGCAATTCCTTCATATCTGTCTCTTTTCTCTGATTATGATTGTGTGTTTGTTTTCTTTCTATCTTAACTGCTATCTGAATGTACTGTACTCTTACTATTTTCCTATGCCAAGTTGCCCACCAAGATTTTAATGAAAGTTTTAAACTTTAACTCTTTTATGGTGAAGACACTTCTCTGGAAATAGTTAAAGGGTTTTGACATCATCCAAAAAGGGGAAATTGTCAGGAATAATTGTAATTAGATTTTGATGATGCTATATTAATTAGGACTTTAGAGTACCCCTTCTTTAGATTTCTTGTATTAGAAATTTTCCTTGTAAAGTTCCTTAAAATAGTCGACTGACAGAAGACCTCCAGAACAGAAGACCTCCAGAACAGAAGACCCTCTGATAGGCTTTGTCCTAATAGAGGACCATCGACTCTCTGCTTCAGAACAGAAGACATCTGGGTCTCTGTTAGCCTTAACACAGACAGAAACCCTCCTGGTTCTCTGTTGAACATTTCTTCAACAGAAACCCTCAAGACTCTCTGATAGCCTTTTCCAACAGAAGTGCTCAAAACCTTCTGTGATCGACTCTCTGCTGAAGACACCAGAAGGTCTGACACTTAGAGAATTTTACCAAGCCGGTAAACCAACTGAAGATTCCCTCAACAGCTAGGAGTGTTGAACGAAAAAGCTAGTACACGCATTAAATGCACATTTAATGCCTTCCGTACTCTGAAGAGTAAATGCAGATGATTGGTCGCAATGTCAGGATATCTTTATCCCAAAATAGTAACCCGCCAACTTTGCTGGGTCCTACTGGTCAAGTCAACTGTTCGCGCATTTAATGCAGTTGTCCTCCTTCTCCTCCAACGGGAAGACAACCCCAGTATAAAAGATACACTACGAAGAACAACCGGATAACTTTGCTGCAACATTGAAAATACAGTAACATTCAAACATTAAAACGCTAAAGCCTCCTTGAGATTAAATCTTCACCATCTTCTACAAGAGAAGGCAGACGTTGGAAAGATTATCTACTCACATCTTTTCATTTCCAACTCAAACAAAGTTCCATTCGTTCTTCAACAACTTCAAGCACTTCATCTACAAATCTTTTGTAACGAAGCAAGTTGGAGGAACCCCTGTTTCAACAGAAACTCTTCTTTCACAAGAAGGACGTCCAAGTAACTGGAGCAGTGAAGTGGTGATACTTCCGGGAAGCTCAGTGAAAAGACCAGTCTTAAAGAAAGCCAGGAAGTGCATCCCAGGAGACTTCCACACTTGAAGAAGATGTGGAGAGCTTCTTAAGTGATAGGACTAAGGCGTTGTAAACGGACGTTTTTACAAGCTTAGTGGAACAGTGGATTAGAGGAACGAGTTGTTCCTGGAACCACTATAAAAATCCCTGGTGTCATTTACTTACTGCACTTATTTATCGTTCTTATTTGAACTGTTTAATTCCAAAGACTTGGTCTCTGTGTTCAGCAGAACGTGTCTTGTGAGTTAACAGAAGGCTTACTGCCTTTGCTTCTCTGAGGCTAATATGACAGAACCCCTACCACAACCCCATCCGGTGCCAGTCTGTTCTGCCAACAGAACAGGCTATTCTGTTAAATCTGGTAATTAGCTTGAAAAAGTTAAAAACCAATACAGTCTATTCACCCCCCCTCTAGACTGTATCCAGTACAACCGGGACCAACAGAAAGGCTCTCTTCGCATGTAGGGGGGTGCTGATCAAATCCCGAAAATGGAGAAGAAAAATCGCGACTCATGTTTCGCAGGCGACCTGTGGACACGAATGCCGTCCGAAAATCTATCATTCAAAGATACAATTTAATTTTTGTTTCTTCCCCGTAACGTTTTATTTTTTCCCAGAACCAGAACTGCTCCGGACCTGAGAGGGTCTCTGTTGGCTTCGGAACCAGAAGACCATGAGGTCTTCGGGTGGCTTCTTCCGGACAGAAGACCATGAGGTCTTCTAGTGGCTTCCAGACAGAACACCATGGGGGGTATTCTGGTCGTGCGGCAGAGCAGTTCTGGACCGTTACGAAAGTTAATGCCCAACGTTCTTATTTTTTAATGCAGCGTTAAATGGACAGTGCATGGACGATTCAATGCCCAACAGACTGGTCTTTGATGTCCAACGTTCAGGTCCATTAAAGTTCAATTAACACATCACAAATCCTCCTATAAATAGCTGGCAGGTGCCTTGCAACAACATATGCAATCATACACAATCCGCACGTAGTTTTTAGATCTAAAACACTTCCAGCTACTCCGAAAAATTCCTAAGTGTTCTAGTTTGTTCTCGTTCGCCGTAACTTTCGTTTCTGTGCTCAAAAGTTAGTTCGTTAGCCACCGTATCCTGGGAAACGATCGTTGCAACGCTCCTAGCACCGTGGGAGGCGACGAATACGTTTTAAGGACATCTGCCTAAACTCTGCTTCATCTATTTTCTGTTTTTTTTAGTCATTTTAATTAATTAATTTTATTAATTATGTTCTTTGTTTTTCGAAACACACCCAACAAAAAATTAGATGTAATTCCTAAAATATTTATCGTATTAATACAAATTTGTGAAAATCAAGGTGATTAAAACGATTAGAAACAAATTTTTATAGCTACTTTTAAAGTAATGTAAAGTTTGAAAGTAATCATAGTTACCGAAAATATTTAAATTATATTTTTTCCAACCATCGTTATTTTGACTCTATGTTAGTTACGGAATACTCCCTCCGTCCCGTGCCTTATAAATTTGTCAACTTTTTATTTTTTGTTGTTCAAAAAACTTTGTCACTTTCTCTTTTAGTCAATCAATTTGTGGTTCTTGTTATTTCTCATTTCTTTGCACAAATCTCTACCACACAGTTTTTACTTTATTATTTTACGTGTCGGTCAAACTTGGCAATCCTTTTAGAGACGGAAGAAGTATTATTTAAAAAAAATAAAAAATTATCCAAATGAAGAATTTAGAGAAAAGGGTCAAATAAGAGATTCTAATATTATGAAATAGTCACATAAGGCCATATACTCAATAAAGTGTCATATAAGTACCTCTAGTTTTATAAAGCAATCAAATGAGTCATGACGGCTTATTTAACACCTCCTAATCCCGATTTTAGCTTACATGTCGATTTTTTTGACTTGTATTTCAACTAATCTTAGTTAAATATTCGACATATGTCGTATAATGTATTCTAAAAAGATGGTCAGAAGTACATTGAAACCGGGGTTAAGAGGTGTTAAATAGGTCATTAGGACTCATCTGACTGCTTTTTACAAGTAGACGTACTTATATGACACTTTGTTGAGTACATTGATTTTTCATAATAATAGAAGACCTTATTTTCACTCTTTTCTCGATAATTTATGTCGCTAGGAAATGAAGTAGGGACCGGACAGCAGCGTTACTCCGTCCTCCAATGGCACAGTAAAATTTATTGCTATTACCGGTCATAAACCGCAAAATAATTTGAGGTTTGCAAATTGTGAAAGGAAAATGCTATCTTCCGCTTTAATTCAAACGCTCAGAATTTTCTATTTCATCTTCTCACTTTTGTCATTTTCCTTTCTCTCTCCCTCTCATACCTGTGCCAAATTTCAATCTAGGGTTTCTTTTTCTTTTTCTCCCATTCCCATTGTGAATGCGGCTCCTTTGTTGCTAGATTTCTATTCGCCGCAAGTATTTTTGGTGACTTTACAGTGCAGCAGAATCCACGCATTCGTCTTCATGATCACTTCTAATGTACACTCTGCACTTGTAGTTTCCAAGATTCCACCTTTATTTCTTCCCTAGGTGGATGGTATTTCAAAATTGAAGTTTATAAGCATTGTTATCTACAAAACCATGTTCTTGATTTTTGATTCTTCTGGCGTATTCTTTTTTGAATTCGGGTTCAAAGATTAGATTTTTAGCTGGAGACATTTGTTAAAGAAAGATTCTTTGCGTAAGTGGGCAATTTTTGGTGAGTATATGCATGGATATAAGGGAAGGGATAGGGCTCTCTGGTTCTGCTTCATACTATCTCGGTAGAGGTGGCGGCGGAGGAACACTGTCTTATGGTTCAGGGTACAAATCTCAAGCAAACCCTAACATTGCAGTCCAGTCCAATATTAGAGATGGAACATTTCAATTTGAGAATCAATCTGGGAATGCTGCTCATGGTAGTGATCCGGTGAAGAAGAAAAGAGGCAGGCCAAGGAAATATGGGCCTGATGGGGCCACCAACATGTCTTTAGCATTGTCAACCATGGCTTCTCCGGTGTCCATTGGGCCTAAACGCGCTAAAGGAAGGCCCCCTGGAAGTGGGTGGAAGCAACAATTAGCTCCTCTTGGTATGCTTTTTTTGTCATCCTCAATTTAAGCTAATGAAGTAATGAACTCCTTGTCCATTGTTAATTTCTTCAAACTATTGGTATGGTCACTCTTTTCCAATTCCCACATATAGGTATTGTGGCCTTATATAATACGTAGTATAAATCAAACTAAATAAAATCAGTGTCTTTGGGAGGAAAATAAATTTAAGACAAACCATTTACTCATATTGAGATTTTTGGTTTTATATTTTAGAAATAAAGTTGAATAAAATTAGTTTCTTGTGGAGGATTAGAAAAGTGAGAGGCGATTCTTTGTTTGGAGGAAAATTTGAAGTAATTTTGAAATTAGTTCCTAACTGTATATTTTCTTTGAGATATTGTCAAATACATGATGAAAACAGGAATAGTAGATACATGTGGTTTTTTAATACTCCGTAGTACACTAATGTGATATCCTTTTAATGTGTAGAATATGACCTTTATGGTATTTTGATATGATATCCTTTGATGTCATATTTTTGTATACGAATATAACTAGCACATTATAGGAGAATATTTTTAGAAGGACAAGTAGGCAAACGGGAAATAAATAAGAAAATGAGGAAATTGAAAAAACGATTTCAAATAAGACAGATAGTTCCGGAGTGCACATAATTTTAATGATAAGTACGAAATTAGAAATGATCTGAGTTGGAGTAATTGCAAGTTTAACACTACGTAATAAATTTCTATTTAGTTTAATAAGACCTTTAAAGTGTACTTATGGAGTTGTTTTCATGGTGCAGGTGAATGGATGAATAGTTCAGCTGGGCTAGCTTTTACACCATGTATCATACAAATTGGGGTAGGGGAGGTATGTACATTTTTCATTTATTCTTATTTCTTTATATTTTAGTTTATTATATATTTTTTTAATTTCTTGAGAAAATATAGTGGATCATTTAATAATTTGAAAACTTATGTCTGTCTGCAAAACTCGAAGACAAAAAATAAGACATGTATTTTGTCCAAATTTAGAAAATAGAGAAAATTTTACTTTAACATTTTTCAAATTTGAAAAAAGAGAACAATTCCTTAATATTTCATTTTTTAGAAAGCTAGATAACGTTTTTTATATTATGGTTTTCAAAACATTAAACAGTTTTCCATAATTAAATTTCTTACCTTCAACAACTACGATTTCCCACAGCCTACAGATGACTATCCAACCAAATAAATGACCTCCCAATTTCACTGCCTCTGACTATAAGCCCAAGCGATACATATGAGTATATGATCCCTGCCACACAAACATAAATTTTACAAGTATCACGATCGTTACTACCATAAGTTATCAATGCTGTTAATGGACCTGCATCTATTCCACTACCATCGGTCATCATCATCGGTCACTCCCACTGCTGCCATTAGCCACTAGGGGTATGGAAAACACATATTTTTTTATATATGCAGTAAAGCAGTACCTATCATATTGAAAATTACCGACTTTACCAAAATTTTCAGTACTATGTAGACTTTGATATTTCTGTATGGTGTCAACCATAGATGTTATGGCGTCGCTGCATCGTCGCCTTATCGTCGCCTTGGCGTCGTGGCGCTTTGGGCAGGTCGCCATGGAAGCTCGAGACGCCATAAGTCAAAAGGCGTTGCCGCATCGTCGCCAGAGCGTCGCAAATACGCCACTGATGCCAGACAACGATGCAAGGCGTGACCCACTGACCCAAAAATTAGGAATACGCCCAGTTCCGCGTTGGGGCATCGTCGCCAGAGCGTCGCAAATACGCCAAGTATTCCGTGGGTCGTCGCTATTTTTGGGATGGGGTATAAGTTTCATCTGCATCGGTATCTTATTTACTTAGCTTCAGTATTTAGTACTCCGTATTTACTTGTTCCAATTTTTGGATAGTCATCAGTCATCACCAATACGTTGACTTTAGACTTTACTTCTTTTTGTGGCTCCAGAATTATCCTCTAGTGTCTACTTTTTGTAATTCATTTTTTAAGCTCCAATATTAATTAATTGCTTTATATTATTTCTATGTAATATTTTAACGTTTTGTATTTATTTATTTCGTTGCTCCAGTTGGCTGTATTAATTAATTTGTATTAATTAATTGCTTTAAATCATTCTATTTAATATTTTAATGTTTTGTATTTCTTTATTTCATTGCTCCAGTAGGCTGCATTAATTAATTTGTATTAGTTAATTGCTTTTAAATCTTTCTATTCAATAATTTAATATTTTAGTGTTGAACGGTGTAATGTTGTAGTGTAACTTGTGTTGTACAGAAACACAATTGAAAAGTTTGTATTGTTAATGTTTTAAGAAAAGTTTCAATTGTTTCAATTTTCTGAAAACAAATTTCAATTTTCCCCATATAATAGTGAAATTTCAGTTGTTTTTTATATGTTATACTATGGATTTGATAATTTTGGCTATACGTATTACATGTAAAACATTGGTAGTGTTGGCTATAAGTATTACATGTAGGCATTTTAGTGTGTAAAACATATGAATGAATTAGTGTGCCTATGTTGACTTACCGCCGCGATGCCGCCACAAAGGCCGCCATATCGCCACAGCGGTATGGCAGTCCAGAGGCGCCGCGCCGCAAAACCCCACCGTAACAACTATGGTGTCAACATTTTACAGTTTTTGGCATTTCATTGCATCTTATAATACTGTTTGTCATGTATGAATTTTGCTATACTAAGTGTCTATATACCAGTGTTTTCAGTACACCCTGACTATGTCAGTATACCAAAATTTATCTATATATCGAATTCCTATATACCAAAGATTTCTGGTGTACCAAAAATTTATGGCATAGCAAAAATTAGATTGTGACACACTGACACTGCATGAGCCTAGCTCCATATTAGAGTTTTGGTGTTTGGTGCAGATGTACAATATGATTTTGGTCATTTTACATATACCAAGACTCTGAGTAAAGCTATTCAAAATTTTAGTGTACCGTACTGAACTCATTGAAACAACGATTGTCCTCAGCCACCAAACACCCTCACTGCACTTGATCTATGCAACTTTTTCTAGTGGTCTGCACACTACATGTATGATGATATTGTACATATGTGTTTGTAAATACAGGCTTACTAGAATAGAGAATCCAAAGAACTGGACATAGCCATTTAAAGTTGATATAATAGAGAATGCAAAAACTGGAATGAAGAAACAGAAAACAAGAAAGTGGAAAGAAAAAATAGTAAACTGCAATATAGAACTAGAAAACTTAAAAACAGAAACTGAAAAGTAGGAACGTGGAATGTAAAAACACAAGTAAACAGAGACTTAGGTTTTATTGAACTTCTAGGTATGAATTATGACCTATTGGGCAAGCTTTGGATTCTAGGAAATGGTAGGGAAAAGAACAAACTCATAATAACATCTTTTAATGTTTGATTTTAGCTGGAAAGTGCAGAGGACACAAATTAGACCAAAATTATGGATTTTTGTTTGGATTTTACTTGTATTTTTATGGACACATAATTGTAAATAAACAGAGTTTGGACAAATATCTAAAAGTGATGAACTGAGTTTGAAAATATTATTTACTTGGTTCAATTTTCTTTTATCCCAAGTTTCCCCTCCATTTCCCCCATAATTTTATGTGGACTTCATTTATTTTGTGACAAGAAAAGATTATGTATTTATTATGCAGGATATAGCAGCAAAAATACTAGCATTTGCACAGCAGAGACCTAGAGCATTATGTATATTGTCAGCTAATGGCACAATTTCTGCTGTAACACTGAGGCCACCAGGAAGTTCTGGAGCCACTGTAACTTATGAGGTAAAATCAATTAAACTTCTATTATTACTCATGATGAACTTTGATCTGTTTTTCCCCTAATGCAATTTATTTAAATGCCAATCTTTTTACATAAATTACTCTGATAAATGTATAGGTTATATTTTTAGCTTGTGACAAGATGGAATAAAAAATCTATTACATGGTTTCCATTACATGTTAAAATAAAAAATGATGTACCTATATTGCGGTTTTGTGGAATAGTTTATTCTTGTCAAATTAAATGGGTTAAAACACCAGGCTGAATCTAAGATCAAGTCCTTGTTCACATACTTGAAGGCGTGCTTGGACCAGATTCTCAGAATTCCATTCCGCTGAAGAGGATTTAGCTTAGCTGTTTCGTGGGTACTGAGTAGTACTCCAAATTACTTCCAATAAGCTCTTAGAATCAGATTTAGAGAAGCAACAGATGGGAACACGTTTCTCTAAAAGTGGAAAGTGGTTCTGTTTCTTGAATAAGATTTCCAAAATACCCTCCACCGCCCGCACACACAATAAAGAATGTAAACACAAGTATATTTGTTTGTGCATACAATTCTATAACAAATATAAATAATCTACACTATAAAATATACATGATATACTAGTAATACGGAGTACTTTGCACAACTGCATTACACCAAATGAGTCGGATCTCCACGTTTGTATAAGCTAACAATAATGTGTTTCTCATGCATTGTTTATTATAAAAAGAATCAAATGCCAAACGCTTGTTAATAAATTCAGTTATGGTATATTCTATGTATTATTATCTTGTCATCAATTATACCCATTGCTTCTATTCAGTAATATCACAAGGGGATGAATTAGTAAAACAAAAAAAAAATAATCATCCCTTAAAAAATCTCCCTCCAAACAAGTCCTAAAGCTCATAATTTTAGTTCATGTCCTTGCTTAGGGCCGTTTTGAAATGCTCTCCTTGACTGGGTCGTACTTGGTTTCTGAAAATGGCGGTCCTCGGAACAGGACGGGTGGTTTAAGCATTTCTATTAGTAGCCCTGACGGGCATGTCCTCGGTGGTGCAATTGGAGGGAGGCTTATTGCATCAAGTCCTGTTCAGGTATATCTCTTTAATTCCTTTTTGTATTTTCTGTTTTTTAACATCATCTCTCAACAACAATGTCCATTTTGGTTAGATGATTCCGTAGGAGAGGGAAGGATGCTATTTATTTTATTTCAATTTCAACAATGATGAACCATGTAACGTACATGTTAATAGCAAATATGAATCATGTGGAAATAACTTGTGATGATAAATTTTTTAGCATTGTCATCTTCTTCATTATTCTTATAAATGCACAAAAAAGTGTATCCAACGTAAAACATTGCATGAATTTGTAGGTAATCTATACAATTAATTGGAAATGTAATTTTAATATCTGTCTACAAAAACTTGTTGGAAGTAAAGATTAATTGGAACCAACTTGGAAGGGTTAAGTGAGAAACTATAAATGAATATGAGGTTTTTCATGTTGACGTGATGAATGACCAAGTTTCTTTAAAGTTTTTAAATGAATATATCCTGATCATTCATCATGCAAACGTGCTCTGTAGTGAGCACATTGGTGTGCTCTATATATTTTCTCAATTACACCCTCCATTCTTTATTATTTGTCATCTATTCTTTTTTGAAAAGATTTTTATTATTTATCCATCTTTCTCTTTTTACCAACTGCTTTCTCCTTCCTACTTTTTATTATTTTCCTCCATTCATTTAATTACTTTTCTTAATACACTCTCTTTCATACGTTTTCATTTAAACACGAATCTGCCTTACTCTATACGTAATATTACCCTTAACTATTTTTCTCCTAAAATAGAGTACAAGTAATACTCATGAATGAAAATGTGACAATGTTTCCACATTTCAAAAAAATGTGGCATGTCACTTGGGACTCACTAGGGTTGGACTCGGGCCGGGTGGCCCGACCCGGAACCGGCCCGGGACCGGTACTGTTCCGGCCCGGCCCGAACCGGTGGCCCGGTCAGTGACCGGTCCGGGTAGGCCTGACCCGGTGGGTTTCCGGTCCGGGCTCGGGTCACCCATAACAAGGCCGGGCCCGGTTCTGGCCAAATTTATTTTTTTTTAGTTTTTTTTATTTGTTTGGGCTCCACTGGGTTGGGCTTGATGTTTAGGAGGGGTTTGGGGGGGTGGGGGGGGGGGGTGAGGGGGGCTCAGGGATGGGAAGCTAAGCAAAAAAAAAAAACAAACCCAAGGCCCGGCCCGGCCCGGCCCGGACCCGGACCGGACCCGGTGTCTACCCGGGCCGGTCCCGGGTCCAGCTATATAGAACCGCCGGCCCGGCCCCGATCCGGGCCCGACCCGGCCCGAGTCCAACCATAGGACTCACTGCCAACAATTTTTAAGATGTCACAGTCAAACAATACCAGGGATATTCTGAGGAACATGTTCTTGTTGTCATTTTGATCGCCATTACTAAAATCTGTCAACTATTTTAAGAAAATTTCCAGTAAATTTTTTTCCGGTAGTGGCTGCATCGAGTTCTGATTTTTTTGGAGGCAACCTTTTGCAATGAATTTTTGGATATTTTTCTGGATTTCTTCCCTGGTGGTGACTGTTGGCGGTGGCCGGTGGCTGTGGCTGTGGCTGTGGCTGGGAGCTGCAGCTGGGCAGCTGGTCGGGTCTAGGTTTATGTTGGAGGGAAAAGAAATAGGAATAGACTTATACAACATCAAGTCTTATCATCCTTGAGATCGGTAAATATGAAGAGTTATGATTTTAATTTAAAAAGTAGTCATCATATTTAAAAAACACTACTAATTTTTGTCAATTAAAGCGTAGGAGTTATAAATGCCTTTCCTTCAAGAATTATTCTCTTCATGAAAAATAGATGTATAGTTTTCCTAAAATTAAGAATTATCCTCTTCATTAAAAATAGAGGGTTGTTTTTCCTAAAATATTACTCATACAAATTTATGGAAAAGCATGACTAAATTTAATATGAATATAAGGTTTTCAACAATGGAATGTAAGAATGAAGAATCACTCAATATATTAATGAAATGTGGAATATAGCTTATTTAGAAAATATGACCAAAACTTAGTATTGTATAGTGTCATGGTCACTTAAGTGTAAATACTGAACATAAGATGCTATGACTAAAATTACTATTATAGTAATATAGTCACATATATATAAATACATTTTTTGTAGTCATTAATATGTAACTATTTTCAAAGAAAAAGTCATGTTATTAGATTTTTTGATTGGTGAAAAAGAATCTAATCCAAAAGTCCTTTGATATGCGGTTTGATTCAATTGCTCTAAGCAAACTTATAATAAAACGTTTTTTTTTTTGCATTTTTAATTCAGGTGGTGGTATGCAGTTTCGTGCACGGTAATGTGATGAAGAGTAAGAGCAAAACAGAGAGTACGGTTATCACGGAAGAAGAGAAGGATTCAGCGGTCGGGTCGGCCTCTGAGATGAGGTTGTCTTCATCGACTGTGGTGCTCGCCGCCGGGCCTGCCGCCGAGATGAGGTCGTCGTCATCGACAATGGTGCTCGCCGCCGCTTCTCCTCCAAGTCAAGATCCTGCCCCAAGCTCTTCAATTTGGCCTCCAAGTTCCAGACCAGATATTAGAACTTTTCAGACCGGGATTGACCTTATGCGCGGGTGAGGCTCTTGGTCACTATGTTTTTTTGTATATATATTTTTATTTATTCATAAATATATAATGTGGTAGATGTGGACTGCTCTAACAAACACATTAATAGAGATTCATGTTATTAAGATTTATCATGCGAAAATGGAGAATCGGTTGACTTGTTAGTAATATACTAATATTGGATTCTCTTTTTGAGTCTTAATTTCTTTTTGTAAGCGGAATCTTTAATTATTATTAAAAATCCGTATGGGCTGATGCAGCCTAGTCCCCAATATATGTGAATCCTTTGGGCCCTAGATCGATTTCTACCTTGTTTGACGTTCTCATCATGCATGTTCACAAGGACAATTTACATAATTATTATAGGTTAATCTGAGTTTATGTAACAAGAGAATGTTATGGAGGTATATCGTATATATATCAGCGTTCATTTTAAGTAGGGGTGGACTCGGGTCCGGGTCCGGGTCGGGCCTAGGCCCGGGCGGGCCGGCGGTTCAAGAATGGTGGACCCGGGACCGGCCCGGGTAGCCACCGGGTCCGGTCCGGGCCTCCGGTTTTTTTGTTGTTGCTTTCCTAACCCCCCCCCCCCTCACCCCCACCCACCGAACCCCCCCAAACCCATCCTACCCATCAAGCCCAACCCGGGTGGAACCCCAAAAATGAAAAAAAATAAAAAAAATTCAATTTTGCCCGGGCCCGACCCGGCCGGGCCGGTTCACCAAAATTGAGACCCGAGCCCGGACCCGCCCTACCCCTCGGGCCTAGGCTCGACCCGGACCCGGACCCGGACCCGAGAACCAGTCCGGTCCCGGTCCCGCACAGTAGCGGGCCGGGCCGGTCCACGGGCCGGGTGGCCCGACCCGAGTCCAAGCCTAATTTTAAGCCAAAAATAAAGTTTATGATCCATTTTTTTTTTATTCATAGGTGTTATCTATTAGTTTTTCAACTATTAGATCTTAATTTTGTTGGTAGACCCTTCAAGTAAAATGTGGTCATTTAATTTGAGGTGGATAATACTTCTTTATAAGGAATCAAATAGTGCAAGAACCGAACTGAATTTAACATTCATTTTTTACAATAGTTGAACCAAATTTAACAACTATGGTTTTTTTTAAAAAAAAAAACTAGGGTGGAGCCGTGGAGGTTGAAGGGTTAGTTTTTGGTGGATCAACATGGGTGGATGACGGTGGCGGTAGTGGAGGTGGCATGGGCGATGAGCAAAACTGCAAAAGGGGAAAGGTGAAAGGTTGAACAAGGGAGAAGACAGATGGATCGTCCACCCCCCTTCTGAATCGTCGCCTTGAAACGATCGAGGTGCTAGGGTTTGGAAGATTTATCAGTTATTTTATTTTTTTATGATCTTATTTTTGCGTTATGTTTTACATTGCTTTGTTTTTTGTTGATGTCTTTAGTTTTAAGTCTACAATAATGAATGACAATTCTGCTAGATATTATGTCGTTAGAAGGATCTATATGACTAGTGTTTGTTGTGTCACATTCGTTTGGTGGTTGGCGATTTGTATTGCTCTTTCATGAGTGATCCGTCTCTGAGTCTAGCTGTAGGGTTGATAGTGCTAGTTGGTTACGAATAGTTGTTGTCAGTGTTGGTTTCTTTGAGTTTGTTGTAACGATTCAAATCCTAATAATATTAATATAAGCAGTTTTTTCTTTCAAAAAAACAAAAAAAAAAACTACAATTTTTAAACCAGTTCTATCAAAGTTCTGAGTTAATCAGTCCTTTATAATAGGGGTGGACTCGGGCCGGGCCAACCGGCCCGGAACCGGACCGGCCCGCTACTGTACGGGCCCGGCCCGGCCCGGTGAACCGGTTCCGGGCCCGGTTCAGGCCAACCGGCCCGGTGGGATGGCGGTTCGGGCTTGGGCCCTTCAAAAGGTGAACCGGCCCGGCCGGTTCGGGCACGGGCCGGGCCATTTTTTTTTAATTTTTTTTTTAAGTTTTTGGGTTGGGTTGGGTATTTTGGGCCATTTGAGGTGGTTAGGGTTGGTTTGGGGGTGAGGGGGAGGGTTGGGGTTAACTAGGAAAAACCAAAAAAAAAAAAAAATAGAACCGAGGCCAGGCCCAGCCCGGCTCGGTCCGGCCCGGACCTGAGGGTTACCTGGGCCGGTTCCGGGCCTCCCCTTCTTGAACCGAGGCCCGGCCGGGCCCGAACCGGAACCGGTCCACCCCTACTTTATAACTATTAGCTCTGAAAACAGCACAGTGGTAACTAGCTTAAAATTCAGTAGGTCTGGGATCAGTTGGACTAAAATTGTTACACTATGTTATAATTTTGCCTATATTCTGATCCAATTTAGAAGAATATGTGAACCAATACAAGTCCAACAGTTGCACTCTAGAGTGAGCGTTAAAGTAGCCATTTACACTTACAAAATAAATTCCTTCGCACACAATCAATTTAAGTGCAGACACATACGGACTTACGGAGTATCATTCAAATTAAAAAATGCGGGAATACATCAAAGAAATCAACAAAAAAGAGAGTACGTATTTGGAGAGCGGGTGGTTAGGACACCTTTATTAACATCATAATTATACACATAATATTTGAAGCACATGAGATGATGATATGAGATGAATAATGAGTTACAAGGGATTATCGTAGAAGGTAGGCAGGCGTCGAAAGAGGTTGAAAGGCGCAGGGGGCAGAGCAGTTTTCAGGAATCTGAAATTCCACAACACTGTAAGCAGAATAACACACATGGCCGCAATGGAGTTGAATCGCAGTATCATGCAGTGCACACACAACACTGCAGTGGAGAAGAAGAGAGCGATGGCCGTAAGAGCTGGGTTCTTCGCAGTCACTATATTCTGAAACCTTTCCGCTAGACTTGCAAGGTCGCCCAAAAAGTTCTGGAAATGTGCAGCTAGAAGCCTCAGATCGTCGTATCTCCTCTTCACCACATCTGGCTTACGGCTCGTCGGGTGCGTGTCCGCTTCCTCGTCAAGATGGTCTGGGTGCATCATCTTATAATTGATCAAGGACAAATGAATCAACGGATTTGCACTTTCAAGAAAATTAACTCAATATGACCAAGTATAGAAAAGGTTATAAATTCTTAAGTTTCTAAGTGAATGATGTTACCTGGTGTGCAACTAGATCGAGGAGGTGTAGTGGGTGGGTGAAGCTGGGTTTGGAGCTGCTCCAGCTCGCCCACGTTGCTAAATTAACAAGTCCCACAACGATAAAGGTGGAGAGGATGAGAGGGATGATGAGGAATGGCCATAAGAGGAGGATGGTAAGAAGCACAGAAACGAGCCATGACGTTGTCAGGCTGCTTCTGCTGAGGACGAGCCCGACAAGTAGTAGTGGTGCACGTAAACCGGAGGCAGAGCAGAGGCGTGCTATGTTTGTGAGCAACACGCGCCTGCTAAAGCCCTGCTCTGGCGTGGTCATGTATCTAACGACATTTCCCCCGAGAGGCGGGTCAGATCTTGCTAGGTTCTTGACCTCCAAGGCCACGGCGCTTCTCCGGATCTCCGGCATCTTCTCGAGCGGCGGGACACCTTGCAGGTAGTGTATGCTCGGGAGAGGAGGGGTAAAGTAAGTGAATAAAAAGCCCCCCAAGCTTCGAGGAACGAGCTGAATCGTCACATGCAGCATGCCCATTATCCTGGCCTGCGGGCCCAGCTCGGGATGCACGACGAACAGGGGAAACACTCTTTTGTAGCTCTTGTATATTAGCAGGGTGGAGATGGGAACCTTAACCTTACCGATGTTCATGTCCTCTACCTTCTTCTTCTTCCCCTCCTCGTCCTTCTTCCCCTCCACTGCCACCACGTTGCTGTTGTCAAACACGCCGATGGTGAGAACTGTGTTCGGGTCGTAGACCTCCCATGTGAAATTCTCTCCGAAGTCGGTGTGTGTGAGAACTGATATGCTCGGGTCATTGTAGGCGTTCGCATTGGTGGGGAATGGTTTCGGTTTGTAGCCGATCGCCTCCCATTTGTACGTGTGATTGAACTTGGGGTCCGCAGAAGCGCCGAATTTGGCTGCTGCAGTGTGTGTCTTGCAAAACTTGTTCCCGTACTTGGCGACGCAGTACGGGTCGGTCGTCCAGACATCTTTTTGCTTTTTGATGGGAACGAGGGCCTCCACACGTTCGATCGTGACATCTAGCTCTGCTATACCGAGTGCAGATGCATTCAAGCGTTTGACGGTGGGGGAGCGATCGCTGGTGTAAGAATCCAGGTCATCAAAGACGTGGTAGTTTCTGTCTATCCACACCGCTGCGTGTAGTACAAGCCCTAGTTCGTCGCCCGATTTCACGAGCATGAATCTCCCATCATGGTGTTTCTGGCCATTTTTAAGTTTCGGGCCATTCCCGTCCATGGGGACGACGACACTCCCAAGCACATCGTACGACGGCTCCTTGGTGGCACCCACCGCACGAGGAGGACGGACCATGACCGTGAAGGTGAGGCTGTCAGGGTCGACTTGATCCGCAGCGAACCAGAATTGCCTGCGGCCAAAGGCATGGCAGTTCAGGGGTGTGTTCTCAATATTGTTATATGGGCTGGGGTGAGGTAACGGCGGAGTCCACCAATGCTGTTCTCCTCCCATCTGGCAATGCACGTAGTAGGAAGCACCGTCCTTGAGAGGGGCTTTACAAGATTTGGAGGATGGCTCGAGCTGTAGAAGCACCACCCGGCAGTAGGCCAGCTTTGGTTGCGCATAGGAGTAGGAGCGAAGGGAAGGATGTGAGGCGGCGGCGGTGGAACCTGGTGAGGTGGCTTCAACGGCTCCGTCCCATTTATTGGTTGATAACCACACGGAAATCCTCAACTCATCTTTTGCGCCTTTATCGGCGATGCTATACTGAGCTGGCGCCACCGTTACACCGCGTTGCAGGCAGATGATTTCCGACCACCGATAGTCCAGAGTCTTTGAACCCACAACCTTTTTGTCTTTAGCTGATGCCAACTTCACCACGAATTCCCTGTCGGCTATTCCGTCGAGAAACTTTACGAGCACCGCCGCATCTTTGCCAGCCGCGAGTTTGCCGCTCGCCGCGTACTTAGTGTCCATCTTCACCTCTACTGTACATTCGCCTAAATCTTTAGGAAACTGCTCTCCCTTCTCCACCTTAACATAAATCCAGGGCAGCGTCATTTGCCCATTCTCATGCCATCGTTTAAAGGTAGATTGATCGTACGCCTTCAACACCGGCGGTGCCTGTAGTGCTTCTGTTAAATAACTAAAACATTAGAAATTCTCTAAGTTTTTATTCCCTAATAGAAATTGTCTAAGAGTTAAGGCACATCCAATAAAACTTTTTTGAAATTTCAAAATAAAACATTCATCTTTTTATTTCCTTGTCATGTATAAAGTTTGATAATGCCTAAGGGTGTTTTTACTTGGACTGTAATTCCTCCCAGACCAGATCAGTTCAAACCAGACCAGACTTGGATAGTTATAAAAATACAAAGAAATAAGACCAGACCAGTTCAGACCAGACCAACAAATTACGGTCCAAGTAAAAACATCCTAACTCGACAGAAATTATTCCAATTTAATTTAGTTAGGGAATAAAATCATGACTATCATATTTTGGAATTTCAAAACTTTTTTACTCCAATTTATGGGATTTCCCCATAAAACATTTCTCAACCCTATCTATATATGTCCTTTTTGAAGATTCTTACTCTTTTCTTTTTTATCCACATTAAGAGCCCGTTTGATAACTCCGAAATCGACTAAATCGATTGATTCTACTAAAATTTATGAAGTTCTGATTGAAGTGTCTGGATTGGCTGATTCAGCTGATTTATGAAAAAATTATATTTAAAATATACTTTATTAATAAAATAAATAAAAAATTAAATGAAAAATAGCTAATATGGTCCTCTACGCTAACTTCAGCCAATACATCCGGAAAAGTAACTCCAATCTTACTTTTTCTTAGTATTACACATTTCAGCGCGAAATCAAAAGTTACGTGTTTGGTGAAAAAATTGGCTGATAAGTTTGATAAGCCGAAAAAACAGTGTCACCAAATAGGCTCTAAATTGGTGTGATTTTAAATGGTTCTTACGACTTTAATTTATCAATCTTACACTCAAATTGTAACACAACACAAAAGGTAAAATGACTAAATTCTTACAACCCTACCTTTCTAAAATACACATATAACTAAACTAAATTATCAATTACGGTTCTTCTTAGTAGTTATTATATGTCTAGTAAGCTAGTACGTCTAGTTAATTTTATGTCTCGTAGCTAGTCAAACCAGACTAATGAAAAATAGAAAAATATAAAGAAAAATATAAATTATGTTTCAATTCTTCCTTGCAAATGTATAAGGAAATATTAGAAATGGATGGAGTAAAACTTTTATTAATTCTAATAATAAAATTATTAGATATGATAAAAAAGTGCAGTTTCAGGTAATTAGTATCTTAAGAGCGTGATTGGGTTTGGGTTCAGTTTGTTCGAGATCATTGGTTCGTAAAACAGATCATCCCATTTAGAACATGATAATAGTTTGGTACCATTTCTGTCTCTTCCGGTATCATACTTTGTTAGTCTTTTTGCCCACCTCTAATTGATAGTTTAAATATGATTAAGCAAAACGTCAAAGAAAAATGGAAAATTCCTTTTGTACACGTCAAGTTTTACATGGCGGGTTAGACGTCTGTCAAATTGTCTGTGTACAGACAATTTGATCGACTACACAGACATATTGAGTGGCTATTTACGAAGAAAACCGCTTTTCACACAGACAAAAATAAAAAAATGTCTGTATCACAGACACTTTATGAAAAATTCAGGTTTAAAATGTCTGTGATATAGACAACTCTTGATATTTTGTCTGTATGGAAATCGATTTTCTTCATAAAACGCCGATCAAATTGTCTGTCTAGCCGATCAAATGGTCTGTATACAGACAATTTGACCGGCGTGTAACCCAGCGTGTACACGAAGCGGGACTCAAGAAAAATAAGCCTCATTTGTAAGAACTACAACAAAGTGCGCGCCTATATACACTTTGTCATGATTTTTAATGTGTTTTTAATAACAATGTAATATGTTCTCCCCATACAAAATTTATATCCTTTTTTAAGGAATTTTTATTACTCCCTTAAGATCGTTCAATCTTTTCTTTTCGCTCCTTCCCACTATATTGTCTCGAATCAAATTTGATTAGATTTATGTGGTTTTAAGTTATTCTTACAATCTTACTTTACTCTTGCTTTATCAATTCAATATCTATCACATAAATCAACATTTCTTATTAACTCTACCACCTCTTCATGTCACAATCTTAGTAGGACAGAGATAGTATTATTGTGGAAATTGATGAAAAACTAAAAGTGTAAATAAGGACATGAATTCGGACCCCAATCTCATGACTACCCATTATATATAGTAGCCCACACACGCTCAACAAATAACATTTCTTGTACATTTTATTTTATTATTATATATACCCATTAAAATACTTCTTTCGTTTCATAAAATCTTTTCCGATTTGACTTAGATCAGAGTTTAAAAAAGTAGGAATAAAGTGAGAATCTATGGTTATGATTGAGTAAGAAAAAAGTAAATAAATGTTAGTCACACAAAACTTTTGAAAAAGTGAAATGAGAAGTTTTTTTGGGAACATTCCAAAAGGATAAGCGAGAAGAATTTTATGTGAATTAGGGAGTAATTTTATCACTTATTTGCTCATTTATGTACATACATGGCAACTCAGCCCACATTTCACCTATAAATACTCTCCTGTGAGCCGGACAAAGGGATGGAATCATAATTCATATTATCACTCTCTCTAGATTAATAATCTACTCCGTATCATTTAGTGTTTTCATTGGAACTTGAGAGTTAGAGGAAAGGCTCCATGATGTCCAGCTCATGGGGACACAAGTACACAACACATTGGCACTGCAGCAGAAAGCCAGAAACTCCGTAATGAGCGCATAACTATTCGGAGACAATTGGGTTGGCCGAAGACCCGTTAACTCAAAGTATTTCACCAAAAGTTATTGCCTACCGCGTCTACCGGTGGGCGTAGCTCAACTGGTAGCGAGGAAGTGCCACAAGGGTTAGGTCCTGGGTACGAATTCCGACAACTGCGATGAGAGGTGACTATGCTAAATGCTAGGGCCTCAACAAGTAGTGGGGACAGAACCCCACTCTCTATCTGTCAACGTACCGTCTGGTCGAGGTTGGGGGCCCTCAGGGATGAGGTGTCATCCTTTTTTTTTTTTATAAAGTTATTGCCTCTATTTTTCACCTATTTTATTGGGCCTAGTGATGTCCTCTCTTTTGCCAACTCCTAAGCGCGGCCCTATGCTTAGGGCAAGGGCCTCAAAACTTCTAAAAAGGACAACTCTCATTCAATCCACTTATAAACACGTTCAAAATTTTCTTTGAACGATAATAATTTTGTTTGGGATAATTGCATCAAGAAAACTGCACATTCTCTCCTACGGCACCCATTTATTTCTACGCACGTTTATTAAAGGAAGGGTACAATTAATATTCCTTTCGATGTGGAGATTGAGCCGCATGTAATTAGTGATGTTTAACAAGTACCTCCTTACCATTTAAACAATTATTAATCATTAACAATTAATTTGAAATGGTTGACATAAAAATTGAGGGCAAAAATTGACGAAAAAATTTATTTGGAGAATATATCTACAGTTGCAAATAAATGTAGACTTGTGCTCAAATATAAATATATGCATAGCACCTTCGTTAAAGAATTTTCTTTCATTTGTACACTTTTGTTGATATTCTCACTCAGTACACAATTGCTAATAGGAAAATTGATCAGAATAGGACTAAAATTAAAAATTAAAGTTTGTGTATTCTAAAATGAGATTGTCATGTTTGTATTCTCTAAATAGAAGTAATTACTGTCATATTTTGACAGTACCGTACCAAACTTTAAACATGAGAGTATTTTTCAAGCATAGAAGTAATTACTCATATTCAGGGAATAAAAACATAGTACACTTATTTTGGAATTCTAAAACGTTTTTATTCTATTTCAGTAATTATCCCTTGCTAATATATTATGGAGTATATTTTTTGAGCGAAGCTAATACGAAGTATATTATATTTAATAATTTGAAAAATTAATTAGAAATATTAAAATCAATAATAGCTGAGATGCACCTCAATGAGAATATTAGGGATATTAGTATTAGATATTGTTCAACATAGGACTAAAACATACACGAAATGTAAAAATAGGATACAATATGTTTTGTTCCCAAAATAGGACTTATTTAATCCTATTAAGAGAATAAGTTAATTAAAATTTCCCCAAATAGGACGGGACCAAATGAGTCATATTTTGAGATTTGAGAATAAAACAACGATGATCCTATTTAATTATGAACTTTATCATTGTTTTAGTCCTATTTAAAAATCTTAATTTTAAAAGCTATTACTGACGCTAGTAGTGATCTTAATTTCTCTAATTTATTAGGAATAGACAAATGTGAAAAACTTGTTTGCACCTTTTTCATTAGTAATTAAACAAATAAGACAGATTCCAAAAGACTTTTACACGACGTTTGAAGCAATCCATCGCAGGACCAATGTTACATTAGATGATATTCTTCATCCCTTTAAGATTATCCCATATTTCCTTTTCGATCTTTCCCACCGAGATTCTCTCATAAAATTTTTTGTAAAATTTGCATGGATCAAAATCATTCTTACTTTGTTCGTACTATATCAATTCAAATTTAATGTCAATCACATAAACCAACATCTTTTAATAACTGCATCATCTCCTCATGTCACAATATTAGTGGCACATAAGTAATATTGTCTTATGTAAGGTTGATGAAGGTGAAATGGTGGCCGAATGAAGCAAAATGCAAGAATTTTGAAATGTAAAATTACAAAAAAAGTCAAAGATATTTACGTAGATGTGAAAATGTAAAATTACTTTGGAAAAAACATCCGTATACGCCACTTTAGTAATTAGTATTGAGACCTAAGAAGCAGTGTGATTTTAAGAAAAATGAATTATGTGGTTCATAATGAGTTAATAAGTGAGAATAAAGTAAGAATCAATTAGAGCCACACAAATATTTCGAATATGATATGAAACAATTTTAATGGGACAGACAGAAAAGGAAAAATGAGACAATTATATGGACCTGGACAAAACCGGACCGGCCCGCCCTCACAAATGGGCGGGCTTGGGCATATATATTTACCCACTGGCTCGGCCCGGCCCGAGCCCGGCCCGCAATAAGATATGGGCGGGCTTGGGTTAGGGTGTAGGCCCGTTCGGGCCGATAAGCCTGGTCCGCTACATTTAGTATATATAAATATATATATTTATATATATACTAATTTATTTATTTATTTATTTATTTATTTATTTATTTGCATATACACATGTATATTTATATTTACTAATTTTTCTTTATACATATTTATAGTTTATTATGTTTAAATTTAAATTTTTAGTTCTTAACAACTAACCCAACCAATATAATATCTATTTTTGTACTTAAAGATAATACTTTGTGCATAAATTTTAAATTTTGATATAGTTTCTCATTATTATTATAAGCGTATTAATTATTTTTTAAATGTTGTAATATTATTTTTAAAGTATTTAAAAAATCATATAATTTTGAAAAAATTAAAGTTTTCCCGGGCCGGGTGGCCCGGTGGACAACCCGACCCGCTCTTATGGGCGGGTATGAACATAGAGCCGCATAAACATTATCAAATTTGATATGAAATACTCTAAGTGGGACGGACTGAAAAGGTAAAATGAAACAATGTGAATAGAGAAAACACTATTTAAAAATTTCTAGTTGATTTTGGCATGAAATAAGTCAACAAAAAGAGTCTGGAAACACCACCACTATGATCGGTGGTGGCAATTTTGAATGATCTCCCTCGATGAATTTTCTAGAAATTCACAGATTTATCGGTGACAGAATGACTGTGAATTGAAGTTAACGAGTAGAAAGAAGAGACTTTAATTTTATTGTGATTTTTACCAAGTATTTAAAATTATCATATTTTATGTATTGGACAATGATTGTTATATTTTGGTCAATCTTTAATTCTTTAATTTCTTCAAATAATTACGCATTCAATCAATAAAAGAAATGACGACCCAAAATTAAACATTCAATTCAACCGTTTAAGTCTATTTTGTCAATTCATTCACTTATGCTATACGAGTATTTACATGACCTGATGACCACTAATTTCAGCTTTTAGTTCATATTAACAATTTTATTTGGCCCAAGTTAAAGTCTATTTCTAAATAAAACTTGTCTTAGCAATTAAATCATTCATAATGGAGAAAGCAGTGCATAGGTAAAATACCATAGATCTTCAAACAAAATGATGATCTAATAGAAAAACTCAGATAAATATGTGTTATGCACAACATAATTTTTCAAGTAGCTAGAACGACAAATAACTAATATATCCTATATATGTGTGAGCACGAATTAATTATGCGCAAACATTTAGTTAATTTGGCCCATGCAATTTCAAATACAAAAACAAAGAAAGAATTAAGAACAGAACATAAATAAAAAAACACGTATTATATTATATACCTGAATAATCACACATCATCATATCGCTAGTAATCTTCTTGATTATGGATCGCAATTTGAGTCATAGAAGGATTATAGCAGCTAGCTCAAAGGATGCCCAGTTCTAGCTTTCTTGATTATGGATCGCAATCTTCTTAGTATTGGAAGTCTCAAATAAAATTAACCAAAATACAGATTAGAGAATTTCTTTACTCGACCCCTTAATTAGCCTCTCTCCATCGATCTCAATTTATTAATATAACAAGCTAAGGGTTGGGTCTCTAATCTGCTACTTTACTACGAGTATAGTTTTATTTATTCTACTACTACCATACGGTCCTTTTTATTAATTAAATTATTTTATTGATTATGTTAATTAATCTCGGAGTATTTAGAAAAGTGACTCGGTCGGATGCTTCGACAGGCAATTTATTTTCATCGGGTCAATTCCTTTGTCTATATGTCTAAAGTCTATATGTCTAAAGTATCTTTTAGTGATAATAATAGTTTTGTTTGAAATAATTATATCAATGATGGTGACTGCAGAGTGTTTCCTACGACACCGATTCATTAAGGAAAGGATATCATCAGGGCGGGTCCTTTCAATTTTTGGGCCTATGACGGTACGCTATTTTGGGCTTATATCCATGACAAACAATAAATCATATTTGGGCAATGAAGTTCATAAAATAAAGACGAGAATCACTTTATTATTATATAAATTACATATTTGGGCAAAAGTAACAACACGAGTATTGAATAAAAAGAAAAAACATTACTTAAAAACGTTTCTCGTAGACCAATGTGAAGCAAATCATTAATAATTGCTTCATATGCAACCTTCTTTCCACTAATAAATATGACAAACAATAAAATTGCCACATATAACAACAATAAACTTTATGTTGAAAGGATACATGAAAAGAAATATTACCACATATTGAATTCATAATTGAGCATGTTTATTAACCGATGATGAGAGTCTAAAGTTTGAAGTCTCGAAAGAATGAAGGTTTTCAAAGAAACAAAATGTTTGACTGTCAAGAGGACTCGCGCAAGAAGATTGCAAATTTGACGTCCTCTAAAACTAATATTAGGAACTCAGATATAGCTTATTGAAATTTGGAAAGAAATGAATAATTGGGGTGAAATCTGAGAGAAACGGGCTTTAAAATAATTATATAAATTTGTTATGTTATAATTAAATTGAATAAAAAACCTTAAAAGTTAAAAAGATGTGAGGACTCGAGAGACGTGTCTTTTATTTATGCAGCAACAATTGTATTGCTTTTAAAAACTACAACCGATTCTGCTAAAAATTAATGTATATAATCTGTTTTAAACTTGTTCCTGTTTAAGACTCTTTATTTATGTTTTAAATTTTCAATTTGTCAACAAAATTAATCATTAGGCCTAATTAATTGAACTTAAGAATAAAAAGAAGCCTACTCACAGTATATATAAAGAAAAAATTTTGGGCCTATTTTTTCTTCTATTTTTTTCGGGCCTAGGGCGGTCGCCCCTCTTGCCCCCCCCTCAAAACCGGCCCTGGATATCATAACACTCCACATCCGTTATTAAGTATAACTAGTATCGTACCCGTGTGATGCACGAGATATTATTTTAAACATTTATTTAAGATACATGACAATAATAAATAAATATTTGAATACGGAGTATAATAAAAAGAAACGTATATACAATGTTATACGAAATGCTAAATACGTAACTTTGTATATAAATTTTATTACAAAAGACATACACATTAGAAAAGTATAAATATTTATTGGGAAATTAGAGTTGTCAAACTGGCCAACCTGGCCCAATCCGACTCGTGAAAGGATATGCTTTATGTGGGCTGGGTCAGACCAACTCGTTTACTGATAGGCCAGACCTTCTACAACCCTAGCCCAGCCCAACTAACTTGCGGGGTAAACGGATCAGCCCACGGGCCAATGTATAAAAATATATAGAAATAATTTAACCTGATTTAATTTAGGCCAAATCTCGAGCAGCGCAACTTAGGGGAGCTAGAAAAGCCAACTTGAAATTCAGAAAGCCAATGGTCATTATGAATAATTTAATGTAGGTGCATTCAAAGTATATGTAAATCATATACGCATTGGAAATAGGTAAAGAGACGCGGAAGATGAAAAAACTTTTCTTCGAGGCCAAGTTTTACACAAGGATTCAACAAACATAATTAATGTATTTAGTCAATTAAAATAACAATATAGAAAGCAACGCGCACAAGGGGTATACCAGTTCGCGCCCAAAACCGCTCCAGTATATTCATAATACATATAGAATATAGATATTGAACTTATCTTTTGTATATATAGTTTTCCTAGAATTCTTACAAAGACCATAATACCTTTTTCATGTATTTATAAGCTCATTTGATGACCCGCTTTTTTTGTATAACTAATTATTTTTTCACCGAACATGCAACTATAATTATGCGCATAGAATCGAAAAAAAATCAAAATATATAAAGTTGAAATTATTTTATTGATTAAATTGTAGGCTTTTACCTTACATTGATATTTATGTACTACTACGAGCGTATATAATATGTACATTATATGTTTCAACTCGAGCGTCATCAAATGCGTTATCAAATTTTTCAGTGTTCTCATTCGCCTATGATATTAAATTTTACATCTAAGAAGAAATTGATAGATTACCTATGATATTAAATTTTACATTAAATCATACGCCATAGTTTAACAATTTGTTTATAAATTTCTTCAAAGAAACATTTTGTTTATAAATATTAAACCAAACATACGTGTGCGAGTATTATAACATATACGAAGTACAAACATGATAATAGAGAATATTAAGGTAATGTTTGTAAAAATTTAAAAAACATTTCTGAGGCTTTTGCTTAAAATCAGCTTAAATTCATGTGCTCATGCAAGTAAACACTTTAACCGAAATGGTTGTACTCTGTACTTTGAAATCACAACGATTTTATCAGTAGCATCTATGTTTTAAAAAACAACACTATTAGTACAGAGGATATTATCCAAATATAAAAATCACAAAATAAAAATAAATTTTTATTTTTAGTGTGCTTGACAGAGAGTAGAGTGCGTATCTATCAGCCACTCAAGTTATGCTTTCAGGGTTCATAGTTGAAATTTGTCTTTCTCATCTTATGATTAGTTTTAAATTTGGTTTTATGCTCATACCTCATTTTTATATTAATTTCAGGATGTGTTTGACATTTTGGGTGTTGCTTTTGTGTTATTATTATGTGACTTAATTTAGATTTTCAGTGGCCAAGTAAAGGATTAAAAAAGCTTTTCTATGATGGATATGTTCATCTCTATAAAGACTCGACCACATGTGTTTCATTTTCGCCTTTGTTTAATTATCTTTATATGGAATTGGTGACATTATATTTTTAGGGGAATGTTCAATGTTATCCTTCCCGATGCCTAACAATGACAAAGCATACCGAGTGCTCCAGTTGAGGGGGAGTACAGAGAGAAAATGAAGAAAGTAATGAGAGAACATGTCCCTATGACTTAGTAAACCCAACTAAGCCTACCCAAGGGACAAAGCCGAGCGTAAGTGAGTGAGTGAGCGAGTGAGTGAGTGAACATTATGAGCGTTAGGAAGCAGAAGGCTCAAGTGAGAAGAAAACCAATAATCAATGATGAGTCTGCTACCTCAACTGCCTATTATCCATTGAACATTTACTTGTCCAACAGTGCACGTTGAACCCTACCCAAGACCACTAACTTGTCTCCCAACAGACAGGTGTTTAATCATACTTCACGGGGAACCGCATCTCTCATTACTGTCTCCTTCCGAGGCAAGTAATACTGACTACAGTGGCCTCAGCCCCATACCACTAAACTTTCATTGATCACGTCGTGTCTAGTTACTCACTCCCAAATGTTTTGAAATTTTCTAGGACATAGACGCACTTTTAGAGTCAGTTGCAGGTCGACATGACCCGCGAGAACTTCCATAGGGCTCATCTATTACAGATGTAGACCAATAATTGGAAGGAAGTCCTGCTGTTGCAACACAAGAATCACCAACATTTTCAGGCCATTGCTTTAGAGTTTATCTCTATAGTGATGAAAACGGGTGTCTACACGACCCCGGGGGGCTTTTATCATTTACTCTTTCTGTTTGTTTCCTGTTTTATTTCCGCAGAATAAGAGAATAAAAGCATGACGTCCCGATTCATCGGATCGTCATGAGGGGGAGAGTGGTCCACGTGCTGTTAACACTAAACAAATCATTCTGGGACACTTCCCTCCTCCATCACAAAAAACCTTCTCTGCTATCTCTACAACTCAAATCAAATGGTCAGCTACACTCACAAATCAACAATCATTATGTTCCGCTGTGCCACCGACAAGTTCTCCTCAAAAGCATTCATTACAAATAGTCAAAAAGACTACATTGTGGAGGAGACAGAGGTCAAATACTCGTGTCCTGAAGATGAATTCCATGGGCGTCTCCTATTCTCCAAAGAATATTCATTCTAGAGGCGTCATCGGACTTCATCCAAGCTGATCAAGAGCAACTTCTGGAAGGCAATGACTACATGCAAGATACAGAAGGTCCCTCAACCCCCGGCATCAAAGATCAAATTGTCAAGAAGACATCAAAGGGGAGATTGCAAGGATTTCTTCAGATAGCCTTCCTCAGAAGTCAAGTTCAAAGTAAAAGGAAGTTGAATAACAACAAAGACAAAGATATCCGCGCTGCAATGCTGATTCAACACGATTGAACACCAAGGGGGAGATTGTTAGGAATATTTTATGGTGTCCAATCTAATTAAATATCTTTGTATTTGTGTAGTTATTAATTAAACGTGTAATACGGGCCACAAATGTGTATCAGCCCGGGGGCTTCCTTGTAACCCGTAAGTTAGCCAACTTCTCCTATAAAAGGAGGCTAACTTTCGGGAACCCTAACTATCAGATAGAGGCTTTAGAGACGCAGAGGCGAGATAGAGAGAGAAGGGTTTCCGCTGCTCTCCTTCTCCAGGGAGAGCAGCGGGGTTTTATACGGTATACCAGATTCGTGTATAATATCGACATATCTTTCTTTCTGCTTCTTCTTCATTGTTAGTTATTGTTTGATTGTTAAATATATGAGATTATCAAGTTTAATTAAGATATGTTTTACGTCTTTTTGAATATGTGTTCCATTAGTCATTTTATCCCTATATTTCAACATAATGTTTTGGTAAGATATATTTTTGATAAATTCTTTCAATGATAGAACGACAAAATCTTGATGATTT